TTTTTCAGTGAGATTATTTTTCAACATGATCATGCCTCCCATAGGTTTCTTTTTTTTTTTTTTTTTTTTTTTTTTTTTTTTTGTTTAAAGTCCTTGTTGCTCTTGGCAGAGGGACATGGTGGAGTGATTGCAGTGTATGTTCAGACCTCTTGGAGATTAGAAGAGTGATTATTTCTCCAGTGCATTTATTTTTCAGGTTAAACTTAAAATACACCCAGACTGAAAGAAGTTTGCTTTAAAAGATACAGTGTGGTGTTTGAATAGTTCTGTGTAGCTTCCCAAATTGTATTTTCTTCTTTATTACTTACTGAAGAGTTTTCCCTTCTTGCCACTATAGATCATGCAATATGATTTTTAAAATCATATTTAATTGAGGAGAAATTGAAAAGAAATACATAGTTTGCTTGTTCTGTGTTGAAACCGGAATAATTTTCTATGTTTTTCTCTGTCTACACTGCACAGCATATTTGTATGTAAGAAGTGAATTTGCAATTACTTTTCCAGTGTGGTATCTTTTGAATTCTTTTTGTCTTAGTTTATTCTCCCCCCCAGTTTTCCTGTGTTGTTTGTTTTCAATTTCTCTTTATTAATTGTTTTCCAAGAGGCACAAAAGGTTCTTAGGAGGCTGTGTCTTTCCTTTGAGGACCTGTGGGCAGTCCTCAATACCTGGTCCTCTTCCAGAGTATGAGGGTGGGATGAAGAGAAGAGTAATATATATTTTAGAGTGCTCCTATGTTACACAGAGTGCTCTTTCGCTGTACTTCTGGGCATGCTTCATTGCAAGGCTAACTGAGGTCTTGCAGAAGTGGTGAGGGTGATGCAGCTGTGCAGCAGGGTACCTGCTGAGCTGTCAGCAGGGACAGGCTGCCACAGCCTCACTGGGAAAGCCATGGATGGTGATGGAAAAGATGTTGGGGCTCTGTGGTGAGAGCAAGTCACTTTGGTCAAATGTGCTTTCTCTGAAAGGAGACAATTCTGTCCAAGTTAGTTTTAAAAACCAAAGGAGTTTTGATGCCTAAATGTTTGAAATAGAGTAGATTCTGACAAGTACTTGCTTTAAGTGTGTAGGAAAGCTTGTTTTCTCTTTGGGGGCACCAGGGAATAAAACAAAGTTTGTTTTTATTTGTTCCCATGTGGGTCAAGTCAAAGAATCTAGTGAGGCAATGGTGCAGGAAGAAACCTTATAACTAAAATATTTGGCTGTGCAAAGACATTTATTTCTCAGCACACCACCCCTCCTGGTTTTGGGTCTTTGTTCATTTTTCTCTTCCATCTTGCTTTATATACCAAACTAATGTGTAAACAGTGATGATAAGTGTATTTTAGAGTGGCTGAAAATGCCTCATGGATACTGGCCAGCTGCTTCTTACATGAACTGCTGATTCCTAGTTCAAAAAAATTAACTGATTCTAATTCCTATGCCCCTTAGTGTATCACAGCTCCCCCAAGTAGCTGGATGGCATTTGGCATACACTGCAGTGCCACTGAGACACACACAATATTTTTAAAGACTATATATTAATTTGTGGTTTACATTCACTTGTGTTTTCTTATGGCTTGCCTCTCTGCTGTGGGGGTTTCTGTGCTGTGACAATCTGGGAGGAATCTGCAGGCTGGGTGTGACTCTGCTGTGGATTCTGTGTGATGAGCCAGTGCTATGGGACTGCAGGGTGACTTTGGACCAAAGCAGTGAAGGGGCTATTGGTTATCACCTGAAACACTGAAACACTTCCAGTAGCCTAAGGGTAGCTGGAGGTAGCTGCATTCCGTGTATGCTGATAGAGTATTATTTCAGAATACTTTAAAATTTGAAATTATTTCAAAATACAGCCTTTTTTAGTCAGCTGTGATCACATCACAGTCAGCTGTGATGCTAAAAGAAACAAAGATAACTATGGCAAAATTTTACTTCTCATGAAAGAGTGACTCGTGTTGTTTGATTTACTAATTGTCTTACATCCATTGTGCCATCTTCAAAGTTTAGTATTTAATCCCAAGGTAAGAATTATTAAGACAGAATGTTATTTTCTGTTGTTAGGATTCTTTACAGGTGTTTTTTCCCATATTTTCTATGTCCAGTCTTCTAAATTGAAGCTTTTTTCCAAAGTTGTAATTTTATTTACAACTTTTTGATGAACCAGCTTTGCTGTTCTGCAGAGAGACCCCTCTGGAAGAATTACTTCTAAGTAGCCACTCAGATGATATGAGGAGGGAGAAGTGAGTTGTTTGTATTTTTTACCAAAGCCAAAAATTGACCTCCATGTACTGTGTAAAGCATGCTCAGATTGGGCGAACACCCTTCATCCCCCTAGAAGTTTGTCTGTGGAATATCAGACTTGAAATTTTGTGAGTCTTACGTGTGTGCAGGAATTCAAATAATTCAAGTCTAAGAATACTTTATTCGAATTTCTGAGTCACAGATTGCAGTACATTGGGCAAGATTAACGAATAAAGACAAAAAAAATTCTCAGATTATTTTTGTGAAGACAGCAACACTTCCATTAAGTATTTTAGATTAATAAAATTATTCAGTAGTTTTTAAGTCTGACATTTTTCCCCCTCAGGCCTAATTTAATACAGGACTACGGGGATCTCCTCTGAGTGGCTAATACCCTTCTTATAAGTAATGCTTTCTTCATAGCCTCATTTTCATAACTAAGTTTCATTAATGAAAATGCTATAAATAATTAAAGTGAAATATGTCAAGACTAAGCCCAGGGAATCTGTGGCCAAGTAAACAAAGGGACTCTGAAGCTTTGGATCTACATGTACTTGGACTGCTGTGTACAGCATTCATGTCTAAGCTTGGCTCTTAAAGCTCTTTTGAACTTTCAGACAGGAAACACTGCAGAAAGTTGAGTTAAAATGGACCCTACATTTTAAAATAATAAAAAAAGTTGTTAGTATAAAAAATCAGCCTGCTAATAGAAGCAATATCCTCACTGGTGTAAGCTGTAGAAAATTAAGAATGTAGAAAACAATGTATAAAATACATGGAAAAAAATTGTTTCCAAAGCTTTATATTTTTTTTTCTGAAATGGTGTGGAACATTTCAGAAGAAGCTGTTGCTTGCATTAGCATAGAATAGTTCATCCTGGTGTTTCTTTTTATGATTTAATGACTTCTAGGTAAACTCTTTGATTATAAGACAGTATGGGTTGTTATTTGGCAATTTTAGGTTGTAAGTCAGATAAATAAGATTTTACTCTAAGTTTTTTCTTCCACTGATGGGCAATATAAATTTGCATTTTCTGTGTAGTGTGTTTGTACCTTCTCGTGCAGCCACAATTTGTGTGGCTGACATGCTTTATTCGGCCAGAAAGTTTCTTCTGAGACTGTGTCTGTTTGTTTTTAAATGACTAATTTTAAAGATTAGTTCAGATTCTGTAGTTTGTAAACTTCCTGCTCATATGGACTTCTGAATTTTAGATACCTGTTTTTTTTAATAATTAAAAAATGCTTCATTCAAGAAATGAAATTGCTTTTATAACTCATCCCTTAAATGTTATTGTCAGTTCTCTGAGGAAAAGGTAGTTTGAGTTTTATGCTGTTTGAGAACTCCCTGACATGCAAAATGGATATTAGATATGCAGAAAATCCAGCCCAAAAATGAATGTCTTGTAGCAAATAAGAGGGCTAGATTAAATTAAATGTAATGAAATTCTTCTGTAGCCCGTAACTGAGATGAGCATTGCGACAGTCTTGCTTTTTGTTTAGCTCCTGCTGGTGATGTGGTTAGACTGCTTATTTACTATTGAATAGGTGAATACAGTGAGAAATCTTAAAATTTGCAGCTGTAGATCTGTAGCTCTTTGTTGAGTCATAGATGTCAAGTGATGGATGTGGGAATATATGGTCTCATTAGTGCTCTGCATATTTTTAGCTACATTTTAAGAAGCTGATGTTTTCTTAATGTGGCAATAGATCAGTTCTCTTCATTAGAGAATGCTGTGTCCTTTGATCCTAGTCATGTGGTGTTTGTAGTCCTTAATGAGGATATGAGGGGGGGAAGATTTTGTTTTACAGTGTAGTAATTGGAAAAGAGATAGCCTATGTGCATTACGATCGTTGTTTTGTGCTGCATACAACGTGCTGGTGTGTTTCATCTTGCAGTAAGATACTGGCCCTTGCATTTATTCATGAAGAGATAAAAAAATATTTAAACTTTTATTGGTCTGCTCTGTTAATCAGAGTTTTTTCTTGTTTTGTTTGTTTGTTTACGGTTAAAATTCTGTTTCATTGAGGTGGATGGTGGTGTCATTTCCTATGTGTCATGTTGACATGAATCACTCACATTTGAGGTAATTTGATAGCTACATTATCACTTTGTTAGTTTGAGACTAAAATTTATACTTGGAGGGTCTTTTTAGTTCACTGTCCAGCAGGAAATAACTTCTAGTTTTCATGAGTGCTTTGTCAGGCTCTGCATTCTTGTTTGCTCTGTAATCAAAGTAGTGCGCGTCCTCAGCCTTTGCGCCTTTCTGTGCCTGCCACTTCAAGCACAGCCGAGCTGTCTGAGACACAAAGTAATGCAGTTGCCAGCAGCAATATGATACTTACTAAAATCTCTAGGAAAGTCTTTTATCTTTGGCAAGTAAGTATTTTACATGAAATTACACATGATGGTAAAGCCACAGATTTAAAGTGTAATAACCCCCACAAGAAATGTTTTCCTCATTTAAGGTGTATTTTTAGCCACTTCTGCCTGGTTTTAAAACAAAAAATATTTTTAAAGTTTACACTTTGTTCAAGACACTGATGTCAGTGTATGGAAATGAGTATTTGCTCTTTTATGGATTTTACTTTTTTAGTAATTATGCTTGTCATTGAAGTGTAGAATATCAACAAAAAGAGAAACTACTGCCTTTTGGTGCAATAGATTGTCATATGGTGTGCTTCTGAGTGCGGAGTGAGTGATGGAAGCCGTTGAATTCAAAACATGAACAGGTTTGAATATATTTAAGAATCTGTACATTTGTATGATTTTGTTCTTGTTTCAGGTGATCTATGCCTTCTGCTTACAAAGCACACAGAAATAAATTGGTGCTGTGGACTCTGTGGAGTGGCTGAAAGAAATGTTACCCTGAGAATGAAGCAATAGAACACCTCCCTGCAGAACCGTATGATTGAGAACGCGGTCCAGCCCTCCTCTGCTGCCGGACATGCTTTTGTCCTCCTGCCCCGCTTACCCCCTGTTGCTGTAATACAGATGGATCGTAGCAGAGAGGCAGAAATGGAGTTACGGAGATCTTCCAGCCCTGGCAAGCTAAGCAAGAATGACGTGGATGCTGACAAGACCATGTGCCACAGCTGTTGCATATGCGGTAAAAGTTTCCCTTTTCAGAGCTCCCTGTCGCAGCACATGAGGAAGCACACAGGTGAGAAGCCCTACAAATGCCCTTACTGTGATCACAGAGCTTCCCAAAAGGGCAACTTGAAGATTCACATCCGCAGTCACAGGACAGGCACTTTAAGTCAGGGGCACGAGGCAGAGATGGGAGAGGCACAGCTGGGGGAGATGGGCGTTTCGGAGGGCCTTGGCGGGTGCACCAGCCCCACTAAAAGCACGTCTGCCTGCAACAAGATCTTGAATGGTACCGCTCCGCTCGATAGCAGCAAGATCTTGTTGAGAAGCAGCAAGAAGGAGGTCACAGAGATGGCATCAGCAGAGGAGGATGACAAGCTGACCTCTTACCAGTGCACCTTCTGCAAAAACAAATTCGAAAGGAAGAAGGACCTGGAGCAGCACCTTCACCAGGTGCACAAACCATTCAAGTGCAGGTTGTGCAGCTACATGACCCTGAGGGAGGAGACGCTGTTAAACCACATAGAGAAAGACCATATAACAGCTCAGGTCCCCAATGGGGAGACCTACACCGAGAACTGCAAGAGCGAGCTGAATGTCGGCGAGTTCCCGTGTGAAGTCTGTGGTCAGACCTTTAGTCAAACCTGGTTCCTGAAAGCTCACATGAAAAAGCACAGGGGGTCATTTGATCACGGGTGCCATATTTGTGGCAGGAGATTCAAGGAGCCCTGGTTTCTCAAAAACCACATGAAGTCGCATGGCCCCAGGTCTGGCAGCAAAAACAAACCAAAAAATGATTTGGAGCTGATTGCCACTATCAATGACGTGATACAAGAGGAGACAATTGTGACCGGCCTATCTCTGTATGAAGTTTGCACCAAGTGTGGAAATCTGTTTACAAATATGGAAAGCCTGAAAGTGCATAACGCTGTTCACTACCGTGTGCAGCCGGGCAGCACCGGGGATAAAGCTGAGGGCTTGACTGATGGGAGCCTGAGCTCCTCGGTAACCAAGCAGTTTTTCTTGCAGTGTCTCAATCTACGGCCATCTGTGGGGCTGGATAGAGTTACGAGAGGACAGCCTGGGAAAAGAGTAGCTGAGCTGGATCCGGTCAGTAGCTACCAAGCTTGGCAGCTGGCCACCAAAGGAAAAGTAGTGGAGCCCTCAGAGTATGTGAAGTATGTGGGATGGGATGAGGCCCTGGCAGACGCAGACGTGACTTACGACAAGGATAAGAGGGAGTATATCCTTGTCAACCAGGAGAAGCGCAAGCGGGACCAGGACTCACCCAGCAACCCCAAGAAGAAGAGCTGCACCAGTGGGCGCCTGGAGAAAACTGGTAGTGTCCCAGCGGGGGAGAGCTGCCCGCTTGGCCCCGGGGATCTGGACTATCGCCCTGCCTCGCGGCAGAGCCGGCGGGCCACCCAGAACAAGTCCACGGAGTGCTTCGAGTGCGGGAAGATCTTCCGCACCTACCACCAAATGGTGCTGCACTCGCGGGTGCACCGCAAGGAGCGGAGGAGCTGCAGCGAGGGCGGGACAGCCGCCCAGCCGGACCGCTACGGCTCCAGCAGTGAGGAAGGGGACTCGGGGTCCGTCAGCGGGCCCAGCACTCCTGGCTCTGCATCTGCCCCGGAGGACTCAGCCACCTCTGGCTTGGGAGAGGAGGGGGCTGAGGAAAGCTCGGAGGAGGGAGCAGCCAATCCCTTGCTAGGTAAGATCTGTCCCAGCTTTGCCCTAGTAATTGTTGTTGGTCCCTGTGTCTCATGGTCTGGGACACAGCGATGACCAGAGGGAGAAATACGTGAAAGCATGTGAGTGAGAGGTCTTAGAGACTCCGTGTCTGCTGCTTGTCTGAGTGTGGCAGCTCCTTTCTGGTGCAGGTAATAAAAGTGAGATGACGTTTTTGTAATGTGCCAGTGAACTTGTATTTTGATGAAGGACACCTGAGAAGTATTTTAGTTGCCTATAGCAACACTGTAGGGTACTCAGGATAGCCCCCTGGATGTCTTGGGGGCTGTTTCTCCCCAATTCATGGGTGTCCTGTGCAGTGTTCTGCCTGCAGTGTACAAGTGTGGCCTGTGTAGCGTAGCCCCAAAGCACATAAACTTGTTAAAACACCAGCGTGAGAGGAGTCTCTCTCCTCTTCTCCGCTTCACTTCCTAAATTGTGTTTATAACTCCAAAGGCTATAATTAATCTCTCTGGATTAAAGCAGTCCTTTGAGCCCAATGCTACTAAATGGAACAAATTATTCTCCAAATAGCAGCAAAGTAAATATTTAAAAGAACACCATTAAGCACTTTCGTATCTTTTTTTTTAATCCTTTATTTTTGTTGTTCGCCATGCTTTGTTTATAATACCCTTTTAGAAATGTGAGATTAACCATTCTTTCCTTACTAGCTCTTCTGCTGGTTTTTGTTTGTTTTCTGTTTGGTGAACAAAAACGGTTTCCTCTCATTTTCATTCCTTTTGTTGTAAAGAACATAGTTATCTATAGAGTTAAACTCATTTTCCAGACCATCGTGGATGAAGTAATCTGCACCATTGTGGAAGAGAGTGGGTTTATTCAATTACCTTGCTCTTTCAGATATTATATAATGTTGCCTTTTCTCCTGGCTTCAGACCCCACAGCAACAAAGCAACATTTTCCAGAAATGTGAATTACTGTGTTTTTCATAAACTTTTGAAGCAGTGGTGGATATATTCAAATTAATCCATGAACACATTTTTTTTTTTTTTTTTTTTTTTTTTTGCTTTTTCACCTTTCCATAAAAAAACAAGTCCAGAAAGTCTAGTGACAAGCTAGATTCCTACAGATTCTTAAATATTTGCGGTATAATTACTTGTACATTTAAAAGACTCAGAATTTGGCTTTCCCATGTGCTCTTGGATTCTTGAACACTTAAATTTCTTTTTGGGTACATGCCTACTTTGTGTGCAAGTTCCAGCAGCTGCCACCTGAGATACTTTGGTACAGGTGACACAAGGTGTGGTGATAAAATTGCAGCTTTGTCTAGAGTTAGATGGGGCTGCCATGTTTCACCAGTGTAACGTACAGTGCTGCGATCAGAGCTGCTGTGATGGAAAACCATCTCTCTGGACATGGGCTAAAAACACTGCAACACTTCTTCCTATGATGTTCAAATAGGAAAACTGTTATTATATGCTCTCCATATTTTATTTCTAACAGGAGGAGTTGTCTCATATCTTTCCCTGTTCTGCTTCTTGCCTCAATTCAGGCTTTGAGCCCTTGCTGCAGGACTGAAAGGAGAGAGTTAGTCACACAGCACTTTGCTCTTTAATAGGAATTAAAGTTACTGGCTCAACTGATGCCAGCAACTGGAAACTCACTTCTTTGGGTACCAAACTGATCATTGTTTGCTTTAACTGTAAAGAAGCAGCAAACTGATGGGCCTGAATAAAGGCACGTTTTGGAAAAGGGATATATTTGCAATCATGGGCTGGGAGGGTGGCTGCTGCATTTTATATTTGCTAGCATCACAGCTGAAGAGCTAATCAAGTATTTAATTGGCTAATGAGAAATGTTTCAGTGCAAGAGAAATGTTGCCTATTACTAGAGGTTATTTAACTCAAATCACTGTCTTAACAAAGGGAACATTTTTTACAAATTATAGAGTTTTTTAATTTGAAAGAAGGTTTAAGGTTTTTTTGCTTATTTGTTTTGTTATGTATAAAAGGAGTTTTCATAGGTAAATGTTCAGGACTAAAATTTCCCAATTGTATACTCTTGGTATGGAGGTTTATTGGCACTGCCCTGGTATTGTGTTCTAAGGAACTGGAGTTCTTCTGTCCAGCAGCTGTAATATTAATTTTATTCTTTTTCAGATTCTGCTGTAACTCAAGAGTTTTTTTCCCCCCTCCCCTATGAACAATAACTTAAGGTATATGGAATATGGGCCAGATTGTGTCCTCATCTATGTGCCTGCAAAAATGAGGTGTTCTGGTGTGGCCTTGAAGCACATTTTGTCCTAGAACTGATGTAGTTTGCTATCCTTTGCTGCAGCTTTTTTTAGTTACTCTTCCAGGTGAAGATTTTCCATCAAGAATAGAACACCAGCCCCATGGACAGGCTTCCTCCCCAGTGGAGGCAGACAAGTAGGGCTCTCAGTTCCTGTTCCTGAAATTATTTCTACATCATTATTTTCACTCAGGCTGTAATCAGGAAAATCTTGTGCTACTCAAAAGGTTATACAATATCTGTTGGGTGGGGTTTTTTTAGTGTTTTTTTTTGTTTGTTTGTTTTTTTGTTTTTTTGGGGTTTTTTTTTTTTTTGTTTTTTTTTTTGTTTTTTTACTTTCCTATATTTATTCTCTGTTTCTCCCTTTCATGCATTGCTGTGTTATCCTGTGTCAGAAACGGCCCTTGAGACTGCCAAGTATTGAAGGCTGTGGCCTTGACTCAGCTGAAAGTATTTCTTTGTGAATTTAATTCTTAATAATCTGAGGAGTGCTGTTGACACACGGGGTCTTGCAGCAGGGAAGCTGGCAGGGCACCTCTGTGGTCACTTAGGGCCAGCAGGTGTAGGGGCTGAGGGTGGCAGGAACAGGGATTATTGACAGGGCTCACTGGGAGAAGAGCAAGAATTGGGGTTGAGAGGATCCGTGGCAGGCGCTCCTTTAAACAGGAATTTGCCCCTGCTGCCTTTGTCAGTAACATCATGATTTCTCAGGCGCTGGGGTGTAGTGTTGCAAACCCAGTTTATCAGCTGCTGGGCTAACTACAAAGTGTGCTTCATCTGGTTGGAGGGAGGGTAAATAGGAGTTTTGTAGAGCTACACATAGTGTACTGTGTGATACCTGTCATACAGAGATCATGCATGAAGTATTTGTGCTGTGTGTGACAGCTGTCTGGGAAGAGGTGGCTCAGAGCACTTTTGCTTCCTTGAGACCAGACTTTGGATGTTTTTGAGGTATTCCTGCCCCAGATGATTCTTCATTTTTATTTATCATTCAAGCCACTTGCAAAACTGTACCTGAATGGTCACCGAGTTGCATCCAAAGCTGTGTGATTCATCTGTAGATTGTTGCTCACCTCTTCCTCAATTTGAGGTTTTTGGCCGGGTTTTTATAATGATTTTCACTTTTCTCTGAAAAGAACCTCAGAGATATGACTGAGAGAGTAGTGAGGGATTATATTTGTGTTGATAAAAGTGAAAGGAAAACACTGTTTTTATAATCTTTTGTCTTCTCACCTAAAATGTAGTTTTAGATATATGAAAATAATTTACTGGTTAGTATTTTTAAGGCATGAGCCCCTTCATTGCCATGGTGGTTTTAGCAGTGAAGATGTTTGGGTTTGTTACATTAGGCTATATGTCAGTCCTGAAATGAAGAAGGAAGAATAATTTTTGAGGCTGTGACTGCTGTTGGCAGGTGGAAAGATGAGGAAAAGAAGTGAAAAGAATTTCAATACCTCTTGGTTCTTGGCAAGCATGGAGTAAAAGCACAGACCTGAGATAGTCCAGCCAGTGAGGAAGTGCCATACAGGTGGTACTTCTTCTTGCATGTATGTGTCAGTCTGGGTTGGAAGTAAATGTTAAAATTAATCTAGGAAGGAAAAACAAAGAAAATAAAGGAAAAAAAAAAGGAAAAGGACTGTTATATAGGAATAATGGAGAGGAATGCTGCTTCTAGCATGGCTGTGTCAAGGAAGGACATCAGGGAAAGGAGAGGATGTATCGCCTTGGAATGCTGCTTCCAGAGAAAACCAACCTGTGTATTCTATTTCCTTTATCTCCTGCCACTGCTGTCCCTTCTCTCTGCCTTTTTTCCCTTCTGTTGGACTCCTCTGATTTTCTGAAATGCTTTAAGGAGAGACTGTTTCACCTGTATTGCACACACGTTTGTACTGCACTGGGCAGTGCAGGAAGGGGCTGACTGCCAGGGAGGGCTCTTGTGCTGGGTGCTGTACCAGTACTGCTTTCAGCCCAAGAAGCTTGTGACCTGGCTGAGGTGGAAACAAGACTGTGCAGAATACAAATAAAAGTCAAAACAGTGAATACAGAACAGTGGTGTGTGCTTGGTTTACCTCAGGAATCACTGGCAGTGTGGTGGGACCTGCTTAGAACATGAGTACCGTGAAGGAGTGGGATGAGATGGGAGTAAGGTGCAGGGTGGAGAGAAAGGAGAATGGGGGAAGGCAGAGGGACCAGGGTGAAGGGAGCTGAGCCCCGTGATGAAGTTTCAGGGGGGATGGGGGCCTGAAGAGAGGTGTGCAGTGGCATTGGAGTTCAGACCCTCCAAAGCAGTGCCACCACTGGTGACTTGCACTGAAGCTGTAAAGGCTCATGATGTGCTGTGCTCAGGTGGGTCACTCCAAGAACATTGCCATGTGAAAACCAGAAGGTCTGGACCTCTTTCTTTGTGTTTGTTACATTTCAAAAAACTCTTAGAAGAGCATGGCCAGAGACTGATTTAGTATCTTTTTTTTAGTAAACTGAAGAAGAGACAGCTGCCTATGAATTGCTGACAGGTTATATAGTCTTGGGGATGTAACACATAACATTTTTCCCAGGCCTGTTACATGGAAATCCTATATATAAACTGCAGTGCTTGAATAGAAACATAACATTAGCAAGCTCTGAGGAAAAAGAGTAGGGGAGATTCATGAAGCATAAATTTGGGCTTTGTTTTGCTCAGATATGAATTATAATAAGTCCAGAAACTTGAACTTTATTGAAAAGTGCATCTTT